TCTACATAACTACTTATATGTGCATTGTTATATCACTCCAGGGGGGAAATACACTGCCATAGTGCACATGAAGCCACCCATGGGGTGCCTGTTTGACAACAGTATAGGCAAGTGAACTGTCAATTACCTGTCAATCAACACCCACAAGGCAGACATCAAAACCTTTTATAAGCCCTAAAATCTTATTGATAGAGCAGTAACTTCCAAAATTATCCCCATGACACCAATTAAGCAACTGAGACAATAATGTGAAAGTAATTATTAACTTAGCATTTCTAGAGAGAGAGTCTCTATTGAATGGGAGTTACTTCCATATTGACATTAGTCCCCAGTTGTGGTAGTTGCAGCCTGCATACTAAAATCCTGGAAAACAAAATTTAATGATGGGTTAAAAGTCACTCAGCATAGACACCGAGCATGCTACAGCAGTCAATGCCTCAACACAGAGTTGTATCATGGCGGAGTGACTTTTACCAAGCCTGAGTGACCGAAACAAAGCAGCTTCTCTGAGCACCACATCAAATGTGGCTCTTCTGATGCAAACTGGTGAATGTTTTAAGTAATCTAAATCCACAACAGTTGTATTGTCTGACCTTTAGTAAAAACTGCTGAAAATATCAGACCCAAACCAAAAGGCTGTGACTATGATTCCGGCACCTTTTGCTTGTAGTAAGAGGTGTCATCAGATGTACTCGCAATGCTGTCGTGGCAATTTCACTGCTGATTTTCAAGTCTGGCAATCAAATTCATGCAAAGGAAATTTTGTGTGCCTTCCCCTGTGAACAGATGATAGCAGGGCATGGAGAAAATTTCCCATCATCCCCAGCAATGTACAGTAAGCTCTCCTATTACTACTGAAGTGCACCACTCCCATATTGTTTCAGCCTCAGTTGTGTCAGTGCAATGCTATTGCCAAGTCAACAACAGCCAGACCTTTGGGCCCCAAACCCCTGCAGCACATGTGTTCTGTACGTTATTGTACACACACACGCACACACACACACACACACACACACAAATAAAATAGTATACTGTATCATGTTTCCCTCTGTCACTACAGACACACCCAGGAGACCTAGCATGAACTGAATACCACATTACGGCACGCCATGTGTGTTGTGTGTCTAAATATATACATACTACCAGTCAAAAGTTTGGACACACTTTCCCAATGAATTTAATGGGAGAGTGTGTCCAAACATTTGACTAGTAGTGTATATAAATGTGGGTATTTATGTATGGGCGTGTGCAAATGTCCAAGGACCAGGGTGGAGCCTTCTGTTCAGGGCTGGTGTGTGTGTGCGCCTGTCAGCTGTTCTGCACAGACGGTCTGAGACGAACAACTCACCAACCACCCACACTTTGAATGCACGCGTACGCGCACGCACGCGCGCACACACACACACACACACATACACAGGGTCACATATAAACACATAGCCATATGCACACAAATGGCTGATACCCCATCCAATGATGAGGCTCTGAGAAACTGACACAGTACATCAGGTAAATAAATCTTTGGCACAATTTCACAGGCATGTGAGTCAACAAATTTCTTGACCTGCCTTTTCTGCATTAAAAAGGAATGATGAATAACAATTATCACTAATATTAGTGATTGTTAGTCATTTTTCTCCATTTACATGGAGGGGGAGTTTGGATCAGGATGTGTTTCTTACATCAGGTATGAAACACGATGCATCTTGGTGCTGTCATTTCTGCATTTACAAGAGTCACCGACTGACCTGATGAGGGCGCTAGTATAGGTTAAAAGGTCAAAAAATGTCATATTGTAGTAGATGTTATTTTCAAATATATGCTCCAGTTGTTTTTTCATAAACTTCTTAAGGATGAAACATTCTAGTCAGCGTGCTGGGAGGCCTAACTGGGGCAGAATCATTTAAGGTCAAAGTTTCAGACTTTAAAAAGGCCTTCAATGCTAAAACTGGTCAGAATTTAAAACTTGGGAAACAAAATAATTATTTTCAAATATTTAATTTTAGCCTCAATTAATCCTAACATGAATTATGCATAATGTAGAAAATGAGAGTTTCACTAGAATTTTTGATTTTTTTTTTGTTTTTGATACTTAGCAGGAATTTGCAAAGAATTTGTAGCATGTCATTTCATGAAATTTATGATAATAACACTATTTTATAATGTGATAAAAATGTGTCATATGAGAATACGAATGATGTTATTGACGTATTTATTCCAAAACTGCATTGAAAAAACAAGTGTGCCTGAAAGAAAAATCACTGCCGGCCACCGATGTGGACACATTCAGTCCAAAAGATGGAAGGACTTTGGTAAAAGATCAGGTCTACACCTAACCATGTAAGCAATGTAAGATGACAGTAACAGCAAAGACAAACCCACAATAAACTTATTTTATCACCTCATGCAGATGCATCATGTTGAGCATGAGGAAAGGCAGTGAATGATATGCCCTGATGCTCTGAGGAAAGAGCAACAGCTGATGCAAAGTGTTTTGTTTTTTTTTCTTTTCCAAATTCCATAAATAGGAAAATTGAGGAAGATTTTAAAATAGCTATAGGCTAGTTATTAAGAAATTACATTATAATTCAGAACCCATCACTAGCCTGTTAAAACTTTCTTACCGCAGACATTTTGACTTGTAAAAAAAGACTATTCTATTTGAGAGTCCTGATAGTGAGCCTGCGTGCTGGCTCACTATCATAAAGGAACTGAGCTTTTCCTGCTATGACAAGTCAAACTGTCTGCAGTCAAAAGGTCTATTGTAGTCTAATATAATTGTCAGGAATGCAAGTTGACCATTACTTCCATTTTCTGAGGTTTTACAAGAAGTCTGTACTGACTGAACAGGTGACAAAAAATTAAACAAAAATTACTAAAGATTTTGAGTTGAGTGTCACTTTAAAGACACAACCCCCAATGCTGTTTTAGGACCTAATAATGTCCCCAGATCCCATAAATTTCCTTATAGCTCTGAGTTTAGTTGCAAAAATACTAATAACTGGGAACTGGGACTACCAAAAGCAAGAATTGTAGCCTCTGTTAAACCCCAAATTGCGTTTAGGAACAGTAACCTCTAGAAAGTTCTCGATAACCTTCACAAAGTTGCTGCATTTGCCAAACTGAACGTACGTTTCTTTCTTAATGGAACTTCTGGCATCATAGCTAAAGCATATCTGATTTAAACTAAATTAGGTTTGATATTAATGGACTGGTCTTTACAGTGAGAAATCTCCAATTCACAGATGTTTGTGGGAAGCCTGGGTGATAATAGGCGCTACCCGTTGAACCAAATTTAAATATTAGCAACATGCAGGTTGTTGGCAACAAGTTAAGCTGAATGTTTCATGAGAGGCAAGTGAAAAGGTAAATACATTATGATTGGTTCAAAACGTACAGAGCCTTAAGGGACACTTGTTAAAGAGGCACTGCCACCAAACCCGATTTTATTTTGCATGTCAAATGCAGGAAAAGTACTGTATACATTACATAGTATTCATTGGGTCATTACTCACAGGAATAACAAAAACACACTGCCAACAGCAGTGTGGAAGCAGAAAAGCACAATGTATCAGCAACAGTCATTCCTTTTTAATGCATAAAAGAGTTTTAAAGTGTTCACACGGGCCGCTGGGTACAGACCTAATCAGCCTGCTGCTGAATTATGTATGAGTAGGATCTCTGGTCTGATCGCTGCAAGGTATCACAAGCAGTCTTGTAAACAAAACTCAATTACACTTATGGATAAATCCTAAAATATTTATTTAGGCTATGTGATTAAATTGATAATTTTCCTGTAAAGACCATGGTGTAATCACATACCTAACCTACTTATGTGCATGTATTTATTGGCTGATATATGAGTTTGTATGTAACTGGTTGTATAAGACTATGTTACGTATTTCTAACAGACCCTGAGGAAGGCTCGGTGCCAAAACATGGCGGTTTTTGGTCTTTACATTAAAGTTGCTCATAACACCACAAGTGTTGCTGGACTTTTTGTTTTATAGTTTGTTTTTCCTTGTTTGTGCACCTTTGCACTGGGTGAAGTTTTCTGCTGTGCCTCATTAAGACTATTGTCAGTAGAAAACTGAATACAGCTCAACCGTGGTTTGTCAGTTCTCTTATGTTAAAAGTATCTTCTTTCAGTCTGACGTGTGGGTCAGAACAGTGCCACAAGCCCGGGAGGCCTCCTCCTCCCATACTAAGGCTTGTTATATATGTATGGACTCTTCAAATTTCTTGCTGGAAAGTCAGGAGCAATGTGACCCCAAAGTTATTCAAAAACGGCAACACTGTGGCACAAAACATCCATAAAATAACGCAAAAACATGTAAACTCAAAACTACCGTAAAATTACCACAAGTGCAAAACAGCAAACTAATGTAAGGTGACTACAAAGCAATATCCTTAACCACAAAGAAACGCTAAATGACCAAAATATAGAGACACATGATCACAAACACAAACCAACGATAAACAGCAGCTGCAAAGACACAAAAGGACTAATAGCTGCAGAAGTTGCTACTCCCTCAGCCTAGATGTATTGCTTGGGGGGGCGGGGGGTTACACACAGCTGCAACCTGTATTTAGTGTTAGTATTTCCTAATGCATGGTTTGTTATTGCCAGGAACAAGGGCATTATATGTGAATCTCAACACACTTTTACTCATTTCTCAAATGTCCCCCCTTCTTTACAAATGCCCAAGTCCCACCCCCGTCAGAAGTTTCTACCTCCCTCCCCTGCTCTCACCAGTGAAGTTTGGCACATTACATCATTACCCACTCATCATCAGGTGCCAGGATGATGCATGGGCACACGCACACACCTACCTTACCAACCTCTCTCTTCCCTGCATTAATGTCCATCATCACTTAGTGTGTGTGTGTCTGTGTGTGTGTGTATGTGTTTATGTGTGCCCAGGTGTTTATAATTTATGCCATTTTGACTACTTATTAATCATGCACTTTAACGATGTGTGCGTGCTTTTATAGCCTACCTTTCATCCAGTCCACCACCTGGCTCGTGCTCCATTTGCTCACCGGTTCCATCACCAGCGCCATTGAGGAAACTTTGCGGTGACTCTCCGTTGCGCGCAAGCGGTGTTAACCCCAAACAGCGCTGTCAGACGGGCACACCTCCCTCAAACCCTCCCTCCCTCCTCCCTCCCTGCGTTCCTTCTCCTTCTCCGTCCGCAGCCAGGTGACTCCTTTTACACTGTCCCTGTCCGGTCCTCCTCCCACCCCTGGCTCAGTCCAATGTCGCGTCCCGTTAACGCAGCGCAGCCCTCAGTGCGGGACAACACGGGTGTGTGTGCAGCGGAATCCGGTACATTCCCCTGCTCGATCCGATCTGACATGTGTCGCCTGTCTCTGTCTCCCTCTGCCTCTCTCCTCCCTTCTTGGCAGCCGGTCCTGCGCTCCAGTGTGTGCGTGTGTGGCAGTGATAGAGAGCGAGAGGAGCGTGTGTAGGTGTGTGCGTGGCCGCTCCGTTACCGACAGCAGCAGTGTAGGATAGCCACACTGGACTCAACAACCGAGAGCATCTCTCTCTCTCTCTCTGTCTCTAAATATGATTAAGCCACGCACGCGCCCCGTGGGTGGCTTCGCGCGCGCTGTATCAGTGTATTTCCCTCTGGAGCGATGTAACCATGCAGATATAAGGAGATGTGGGGGAAAGATATTCTCCAGGGATGTCTAATCAGGCCGTGTGTGTGTGTGTGTGATAAAGAGAGACAGCGTGTGTTACAAAAAGAGATATTGTTCCTCTGGGGACACAAAAACAGAGGTACCTACACTTTCTGCTTCAGCTGCTGTGTGAACAAACTTAATGAATCCTCACTGCAAAGATCATTTCTCTGCAGCCTCAGAATAATTTTATTCTTTCTTTCTTGTAACTCACAGTAGTGGAATGTTACTGAGGTCCTCTTCTTTTCAACTTCTACTCCACTTTCATAGGCAAATACAACTACAACTACAACTGGGCCTACTTTTGAGCACTAATTATTTTACAAATTAACATTTTTCCATTATAAAATAAGTCTTTCTTGAAGTTCAAATAAGCCAGCATGAAACCAAATTGATTAATCAATTAGTCAGAAAATTAGCAATGCTGATAATCATAAGCCATTTTTATGTGAAAAAGTCAAACATTTAACTGTTTCTGCTTCTCAAATGTCACTATTTTCTGCTCTTTAAATAATTTCACTTATTTTCAATATTTCTGAGGTTTGGACAAAAACAAGCATCATAAAAGTGGCACTCTTAGCTGTGGCATAATTGTTTCATGGGGATTTACTGAACTTTTACAAACTAATCAGTCAGGTTTTTTTTGTGTGAAAATGATCATGGGACAAATCCGTAATAAAAATTATCATTAGCTGCAGACCTATATAAAATAATTAAAAATAAGGTCTACCTCAACCAGCTCAACTATAACAGTAAAACGCTGCTAACACAACTTCTGATTGAAAGAGCTGTTCAGTTTGCAAATCAGAATTTGAGAGCAAGCGGGCACGGATAAGTGTGAGGGAGGACAGAATCTGGAGTGTAACAAATGACTTGAGTGAGCAGCAGGGATCCTCCCTCACTCGCAAATCTGGTTCTGCTCTTACAAATCCGTTCCTGCATGCTTTTAAATTCTGACTTTGCCCACTGTATAGCACTCGGAACCTTTGTGCCCTTTCAAAACCTTTGCTGTCAGCTGACTTTTCTGAGAACTCCGAGAGCGCAGACTCAGGAACGAGTGCACACATGGATAAGATTAATCTCTCAAATCTGATTCTGCGCTCATAAATCTGAGCCTGCGCACTCTCAAATGCTGAGTTGCAAACTAAGCAGAGCTTGAAATGTGGTTTGTGTGCCCTCAAACATTTTGGCCAGGATGTACTTCCAAACATACATAGTTTATGTCAGTGCTAGGAAACAGGATGCGAGGGCAAAGAACAGTAAGGAGTGGTTTATGATGTCAGGCTGAATTTCACTAGTGGTGTTTTTTCATCAGCAGGGGCTAACTGAGCTGAGCCAGGTGAGCATGGGTTGGCCTCGATTTCCATCTGCTCCTATCAGCAGGGGGTAATCGTGCTGACATGGGCTCAGCAAGCCCTGCTTTCACCCAAGGCCTAGTGGGGCTGAGCTTCAACAGAGTTAGCTCATTGAGACATGATTGGCTGAAATGTTGAGCCAAGTGAAAGTACTTTTACATTCATAATTGACTTTTTATTGGTTATTTCACTGCATCAAGATTTGAAAATGGAGTTTCTCTCTTGGTCTTCTGATGAGAGGCTGCAATCATGCCTAGCCAAGGACACCATGTTGCAAGCTGGTAACACCACACTGACACCATCATGAGTTATGTGTCGCTTCTTGGCCCCAACATGATCAAGGTCCCATAGATGAACAACACGTTTGACAGTGGATTGGAAACGCAACTGGGCTGACTTGGGAGCAGCTCAGCACAGCTCACGCCACACACGCCCTATGCTGATCCATGCTGATGAAAAATTACCAGATATCCTCTAGCAACTGAGAAGAAATTACGTAAAGTAGCTTTAAGGAACATTTTCATTGCAAGACTTGTATTAATATTTATGAAAAGCATCAGGATACTTCCTTCACCACTTTTTACTCACTTAACAGATGCATTTGTAATTTTTTTCTTTATCTGATTAAACATCAGACAGGGCATGTGGATGGGATGCAAAGAAGCATCCCCAGCCAACTCACAAACCTGTGATGTTGAGGTTTCATGTTACACACCTCAGACCATATCATAGGCCTGTTCATTTAGTATGTCAGCGTTGATAAATATGCAATATTAGAGCATCACTTCATCTGATTTGAGGTGCCAGAACATTTATTGCCAAATCTTTTTCAATGAATATTCAAAGTTATCTGGCTATACTGAATCACCATTGTCACTGACCAAATCATGAGCTTTAACCAGTCAATCTCATCGCTTCTGACTGAGAGCACCATTTTCAGCTCAGCTGTTATTCACACCAATGTTACTTCATCATTAAAAGCCTATTAAAATACAGTAAAAGCCACCAAAACAACCACACTGTGATCACTCTGTCAATATTAATAGGTTGCATAAAAGCTAAGTGCATTTGTGATGAATCCACTTATTGTCATACACACTGAAGTGCAAATGAATGGTGACGCATTCACTTACTGATGTAGTGCATGTACTGAAGTGCTTTTAAATGGTGATGTATTCAGTTAGTGATGTACGTAAGAAAGGATTTCGTTTTTTTTTTTAAGTGGAAAAAACTACAGAGTCAGTGACCATGAATCTTTGAACTGAAGCGATTCGACTCAAAGTGATTTATAAGTTCCACCTCTACCTCAGGTAGGATACTGCTTGAATATATTTCTATATTAAAGGATCAACAAATAAAACCAAAACTACATCTGCTAAAGGTAAAAAGAAAACATTGTTCAGCCGCATATATGATTACCCTTTGCATCTTAATCTCTAGTGCTGCAATGATCATACATTGTCCCCTATTTTTTCTACTGCTAAATAAAACTCTTCCAAGTCTCACTAATGAACTCATATACAGTATTTATGCTTTACTGGGATGTTAAACTAACACAAGTCAGTAATTTGAGTCAGTCTGATGAGACAATGGCGATATCCATCATCCATCCATTATCTATACTGCCTATTCCTGAATATTTCTGAGCTCTTACTCTGCACTGTTTCATTCCATCTCATCCCATTGCAATAATGTTCCATAAGCTTAATGTACCTGTCCATTACTGTAATTTGAATACATAGCCTGTTGTACATCGTACATTACCCTACATAACCTACTGTAAATATCAATTGTACATATCCATTGCTAAATTAGTTCTGACTGTTCATACTGTAGATACTGTGCACTCTTCAGTGCTGTTATTGCACTTCTGTTTAGATGCTAAACTGCATCTAACTGACTGGTGTTGAGCCGGAGATATTTATCCCCCTCAGAAACACCACCGAGGGGGATAAATATCTCCGGCTCAAGACCAGTCAGTCAGAACTGATGAAGCCTCTTGGATGAGAGGTGAAACGTCTTCGACCTAGAAGTTTTTTTCAGCACTACAGCAACTAGTAATTTATTTTAGATCAACTAGTCATTTATTTCACACTATAATATACTGCAGTACCTTTAACTTTCTATTAGCTTGCATAGCCTGAAATTCCTCTGTGCTGCCTTTTTATTGTGCTAAATATTTTCTGCAGATGCCAATGTCTGGAGGCAATCCCAGCCGATGCTGGGTGAGTGACAGGGTACACCCTGGACACCAGTTAGTCACAGGGCTAGGACGTTATTCAGTTTAATGAAATCATTAAAGATGTATATGTATACATCACATCTGTGTGTGTGCGACTCACATGGATACAGGCAAGCAAATACTGTGTGCACACAGTTATAACAAAGGAAGGGACAAGAAGTACTGGAGATTTGGTTTCTTTTGATTCAGTGCTGCGTCACCTCCTCTGCAGGTGGATATATGCACATACAATACAGAGGCTGTGAACAGAGCGAGGATGGCAAGAGTTTCCTTTCCCAACTGAGACCTCTGCTGGTGGTAAGTGATGTTGACGTTTTTCATATGATAAAAGACAGTTGTACTTGAAACTTCGCAGCCAGTGCAGAGACCTAAGAACTGGTGTGATGTGTTCAAGGTCTCTGCTTTCGTTGGAACTTCAAGTTGCCAGATAGGTTTTTACAGGGAGGCTTAAAAAATGGATCAGTGGATGGTTTTTTTTTCCAAAGTGATGCTTTATCAATCATCTGATTCTTCCTGATCATCATCTGATTCTGAACCATGTGATTCCTGATCCCTAGAGAATGAATCTTTCTGGTTTTCTGGTCTGCTTTGCTTTTCTAGATTAAAGTCAAAATCCTGTTAAAATACAGTGTGTGACAATTTGTCATTGGTGGCTCTATTTTAGGCGTGTTTTACCAGATTCAGTTTTGATTTTTGATTTTTGATTTATTCTTTCAAACATGTAACGACAGTCAATATGTCAACACACATAATTTCACACATATCCACAAATGCATTATCAATTTGCTTATACCTAGTACATGCTTGAACGGAGTAGGAAGAAGTTAGACTTATCTAGTCCTACCCCAT